ACCCTCCTCACAACCCGCTTGGAGGAGTGTATCTACCTGCCCACCCCCACCCTCCTCCAGACAAAGAGTCCAGTGCAAGCCCAGGACATCCTCAAAGATGGCAAAGCTGCCCTGACTGAGGGAGGGTGACCCTCGAGGGACTACCAAAGGCCAGCATGGAGGAAACACAGCAAAACCATCACTGTGACTACCTTTTTGTGACTGCACTACAGAGAACTCCCTTTTTCTATATGTAGTTCTTAAATGTTATTTTATTTTTCAATGGGATTTTTAAAAAGCAAATATCAAAGGTGGAAGAAGAGGAAGCAGAGGTAGAGGAGGAAAAAGAAGGTGAGGTGGGTGGGGAGCATCCTGCAGTGAAGCACAAGGACGTTCGCAGCCTGTGGACCATTCCCCAGGCTCCACTTCCCCAGACTTGACATGCCCCCGATGTCCCCAGAGACATCACTGACTGGCATAGTGTCTAACAGAGCAGGTGCTGTGATCACCTGGGGACGAGGTCAGAGACAGAGCCAGATCTCTACACAGAAGCCACCACAGATGACAAGAAGATAGAGATGCTCAAAAATGGGGACTCCAAGGACTTCCCTGGTGGCCCAAGGGCTGGGTCACTGAGCTCCCAGAGCAGGGGACCTGGGTTCAATCCCTGGTCTGGGAGCTAGATCTCACATGCTGCAGCTAGGAGTTCACATGCCACAGATGAAGATCCCTCATGCTACAGCTGGGAGTCAGCACAGCCAAATAAATAATACTTTTTTTTAAAAACTGGAGACTCCAAGCCATACACTTGTACTCTGGGGTCCCAGACCATGGTTGGCACTTTGGGCTGCAGCTCTGGGGTCCCCCTGACAACTCCAGTAGATGTGGAAGCATCTACTGATCACAGGTGCCCTCCCCCAGGAAGGTAGCTGGGACTTGGACATCCCAAGGCTCATTCCCAACCAGTCCTTGACTTTCTGCCTAGAGCAACTATCTTCACAACAGGGAACCCTGCACCCTGGGCAGAGCAAGGCCTGTGCACACCTTCCCCAGAGGCTGAAAGACGCTGCCACCAGCACATCTCCCCACAACTCTCTGTCTGCCACTGACTTCCTAGGACAAACAGCCCTGACCTGGCCCTGTGCACAGATGTGCTGACAGAGAGAGGGAGGGGTGGGCAACAACTGCCCATCACTGCATCGCCGCCCTTTCATGCCAGGATGCAGAGGGGCCCAGGAAATGACAGATGTGTCATGGTCGGGGACCAATTATACATGCTAATAACAGTCCGTGCCAGGGCCCCGAGTCACCCAGATGGAAGAGGGGATTTATGGCCCAAACCTGATTTCCCAGAACCCAGTGAAGGCAGGAGTGGAGACAGAAATCGACAGAGCCCTCTTCCAGGTCTCGTTGGGAGCCAGGGTATTTTTGGAGGGCTCTGGNCAGATGGAAGAGGGGATTTATGGCCCAAACCTGATTTCCCAGAACCCAGTGAAGGCAGGAGTGGAGACAGAAATCGACAGAGCCCTCTTCCAGGTCTCGTTGGGAGCCAGGGTATTTTTGGAGGGCTCTGGCCTCGCCTGCTTGCTGTACTTTATTGCTGGCAGAGAGACGGGAAATTTATTACTTTACAAATCATACCGTTCGCAACATAAATGAACTGTCTGGCTGCGGCACGCTCGAGCCCAGATGATTTGCGAAATGTCTAATGGTAAGCGGAGTTATGCTATCTGCTTACGGCCTCCGAGACAAAAGCCAACCATACCGCAGAGCATCTGCACAGTGTAACTCGAGGCCAGCAAATTGGCCGCGACTTATAAATGTTGGCTCAGCAGCATTACATAACTCGGTGCGCTCGGCCAGGGACGCAGAGGAGCACGGGGCAGCCCCCAGGCCCAGGGAGCCAACCCTGATGGGGCTGCACATGCATGACAGGCAGGGCACCACGGGGGCTCGGAGCCCGAGGTCAGGGCCGGGCCGCGTTCCACAGCCTGGCCAGTTCTGAGGCCTGCTAGCAATCAAGAGGTGGGGTGGGGTGGGCTCGGGGGCCTGCCTGGGAAAGGGGGTGCTTGCTAAGACCCACTGCTCCAAACTCCCCAAACCCAGGCTGGGAGGATAGTCATGAAATCATTGCAACCCCGGCATGTAGACAAAAGCCTGGCAGCACCCATAGTTCATGGAAAGGTTGGGGGGTGGGGTGGTGTTCACCGTCTGCTGGCTGGCCTGACCAGCGAGCAGAGGGCCAATCTCATGATCATCAGCACCCACAGGCTCGCCTGGTGCTCAAGGTGTGGGTCACCAGGAGGCAAGAGGAGACGGCACACATTTTACAGAGAAATCCAGCAAGTCACTTGCTCTCGCTGAGCTTCAGGCTCACGGAGGAGGTAGAGTCAGGATTCAAACCTAAGCTGCTGTCCTTTTGTTCTCATGCACCCACTCTGAGTGAGGCACTTAATCACCATCATTTTCACAGAACCCTCAAAACAATCTGTGACGTATGGATAGCAGCATCCCCATTTTACAAGTAAGCAAGCTGAGGCTTAGAGGAGTCATATCCCTTTTCCAAATATATCTTTAGTGGGTGGAAAAGCCAAGACTCAAGCTTGGGATGCTCTGGTTCTGAAGGGTCTATCTCTCACACAGCACATGCCTCCTAGGAACCAGAGTATCAATTTATGGCTTCCCACCACCCACACTGAGTTGTTTGGGACAGTGCCATCAGACACGCAATGGGTAAGAAAAGTCCAGCAATGAACTAGTAAAGGGCTTCAGAAAAGAGGGGTACATGCTTACCCCCAGGAGCTCTCAGTTCACTTGCTCTCAGGTGTGAGCCCCAAGAAGCATGAGGTGGACATTTTCTAGGAGGTCCAGGGGAGGGGGTGACTGGGGAACACTTCCGGGCCAGGGGTCTTTGAGTCACTCAAACTCTGAAGAGGCCCAGGAGGAGCCACAGAGACCTTGCTTCAAACAAATCTGTACCCACCTGTGGCTCAGGGACTCGGGTGACCTTCAAAGGGCAGGAGAGGGACCCAGCAGATCCGGTCCATTGATTGGTCCACTGGCCGATGGACCAAAGGGCCCTGCTTGACGGCACAGACAATCCTCAACTCAGGCTTAAAACACAGCACTGGGAAAAGGTACACTCCTGTAGATGCTCAACCTGTGAAGTCTTCAGCATAAAAACAAAAACGCTTTCTGAACAGTTGATTTTAAAACAGAGAGCAGTATTTTAAAACACTTTGATCTGCAAAAATAACAAAGCTGTCTTGTTCCCACACAGAATTTCGACTGTGCCACTTGCCATTGAAACAAGAGCCTGTTTACTGAGTACTTCAGAAAACAGCCTCGTTTTGTGCACAAGTCAAGCTTGGCCCTGAAGATGTCATTCTCTCACTGTCTCACACATCCATGCATTCATTCACTCACCTACTCACTTGGCAAAGCCCATGTCTCCAATCCCAGCAAAGGCCCAGCAGAAGGGGTCTCTGCATCTCCAGTTCCCTCCACGTCACATGCCAAATACAGATTAGCCCCACCATCTCTGGAGAAGCTTAGATTCAGTTAATGGACTTTTTATAGCATGTAAATGTCACCTCAGTAAAGATGCCTATTAGCCACATAAATAGTGCGCGCGTGTCCACGCGAAGCACAGGCTGTGGGCGGGTGGCAGCACCCACTGTCAGCACCTGCACCACCACTGAGGTTGTTTTCAAGCCTTCCAGCCGCGGGACTGGCATGTCTCTGTCAGAAGCTCTGGGCACATAACTAACCCCATGTGTGACAGCTGCTTTCAGGAAGGTGCAGCAACATTCACTGCTGGATCTGATCTTTTCAGAGAACCCCTTAGTGTCCAGGAAAGTTGACCATGACCTGGACAGGAAGCCACGGGGCAAACATTCTGGTCATGGGCTACATCACCTTGAGCCATGATGACCCCTAAAGAGGCACCAAAGGAAGGCAGTTCTTTCTCCCGGTGGGCACACATTCTAAGAAGTTCACATGGCTCCCCAGGCCTGGGGAGGGGACACCTTTTGGAGGAACAGGGGGAGGTACACAAAAAAATACTTCCGGACCCGAGTCAAAGTTCTCTCCCTAGCCAGGTACTGACCCAGCAGTGGGGGGCATGCACACACAACACAGGCCCTGGGCTCCCTCTCCTGGGTGAGAACATCCCTGACTGGTGCCAACAGCATCAGCAAAGACTCTAAAGGCATCTCCTCAGGCCTTTCATGAGAAAGAGCCAGGCCACGTGTTCCATAGAAGAAGACACAAGAAATTGGTTTAACTGATAAGTTCCAATAAGCAGTGATCTTCCATGACTGAGTCTAGGGACCCTGAGAGAATCTTACAGAGGCATGGATCCTCTGCATTAAAAGGCAGAGACATCACTTTACCGACAAAGGTCCATACGGTTTTTCCAGTAGTTATGTGCAGATGTGACAGTGGACCATAACGTAGGCTGAGCACCGAAGAATGATGCTTTCGAACTGTGGTGCTGGGGAAGACTCTTGAGAGTCCCTTGGACAGAAAGGAGATCACACCAGTCAATTCTAATGGAAATCAACCCTGCATATTCACTGGAAGGACTGATGCTGAAGCTCCAAAACTTTGGTCATCTGATGCAATGAGCTGACTCATTGGAAAAGACCCTGATGCTGGGAAAGATTGAAGGCAGGAGGAAAAAGAGGTGACAGAGCATGAGATGGTTGGATGGCATCATCGATTCAATGGATATGAGTTTGAGCAAACTCCAGGAGATGGTGGAGGAGAGGGGAACATGGCGTGTTGCAGTTCATGAGGTTGTAAAGGGTCAGACACAACTGAGTGACTGAACATCATGGACACTCTGCCCAGAAAACTTCACACAACACTTTTCATCTAGTGTCATAGGAAGCTCAAGTGAAGAAGTTCTGTCATAAAAGTTCCCCAACACAAGAAAACCAAAGCAGCCAAGCAACCCACAGGCAACTTTTACCCTCCCAGCCCCCAGTGCTCTAAAATACACAAGAAGAGGGCCATACCTGTGGTCAGAAGAAGGTCCAGGATCCACTCTGGGCCCATTTGGGTCCCTGACCCCTTCTCAGCCGAAATGAAAATGAAGACTTCGGCTTGTCAGCATCCTAGTGGGGCACCCTCTCTAACTTCAGTTTTTCTGCCAGCACATGGAGGCCAGGACTGTCCACCCAGCTCTCCCGGCTGAAGATACCTCTGTCAGGCTTCAGTTTCCCAGAAGATTCTGCCTCAACACCCAGAGACTGTACCAGACATGGCCCTGACCTACCGGCCCCTCTTGAGACTCGAGAGTCCTTGGACAACAAGGAGATCAAACCAGTCAATCCTAAGGATATCAACGCTGACTATTCATTGGAAGGACTGACGCTGAAGCTCTAATACTTTGACCACCTGTTGCAAAGAGCCGACTCATTGGAAAAGACCCTGATGCTGGGAAAGATTGAAGGCAGGAGAAGGAGTGACAGAGGATGAGATGGTGTGCTGTAGTCCATGCAGTCACAAAGAGTGGGACATGACTGAGTGACTGAACAACAATACTGCCCCCCCCCCAGGAGTGCTGGCTGCTGTGTTTTCTGTTGTCTGCCCTCTGTACTGACCCCAAGGCCATAATCAATGGGCTCCCATTGACCTAGAAGTCTGTGCCAAACTGATGCCCTGCCCTGGAACTTGTAATGAGAAAACCCCAAGAGAACTGCAGAACAGCAGAGGTTACAGCTGAAAATCATATTTCCAAAAGCCAGCTCTCCCTAAGCTGAGAGACAAAGCCAGAGGGCAGAGGAGAGGGTGAGGGCCTTCCACTGTTAGGTGGAGGGAGGCCAGCAGAGGGGAGTACCTGAACCATCATATCCTACCTGTGGGGCCCAGTAGTCCTACCCTGTGACCCACAGGTTGCCACCTACAGCCTGAGCTGAGCTGGGAGTTGGCTATTGGGCCCGAGGGACACTGAAACCCACAGGGGTTCCACCAAACATGTCTCCATAGACTCATGTCCTTCAAGCCCAAACGGGGAAGGAGGAGGGCTGATCACAGCCACCCCATGCAGGGGTAGGGTCTCTGGAATCTAGCCCAGCACTGTAATCCTCTGGGGAGCTTCAGAACACAGACCCTACCCAAGGGCAACTGACTACATAGATCTGGGGTGGGGCTGGGAGTTGACAGTGTCACAAAGCCCCCCAGGTGATCAGGATTCTGGGCCTGGCTTAAGAACCACTAGTTTGGGCCATACACCCCTTGCCTCACAAAAACAGAATCCCCCATATCTGGATGGCAAAGGACAAGGTTTGGGGAGTAATGGTGTTTTCTGGGAAGTTCCTCATCAGACTGGCCAAGCCTGCTCTGCTCTCTCTTGGGGCTCCAGATGCCACCCAGCCTCCTCCAGGAAGCCTACGATTCTTGTGTGAGCTCCTCCCTGAGACCCACCTTCCCCACACTCGGCCATCCATCTGCTCTGTGATTTCCAGTCTATACCACACATAGAACCCTTGTCCCCGGGGAGCCCCTGGCCTTCGGGGACTGGCCTCTGGCCTCTAGGATGCGGAGCGATCTCCCGGCCTCCGCTGAGCTCCTGCTCTCGGTTCAGGCCTGGCTGTGGGCTACGTGGGTGGGGCTGGCTGTGGCAGGCTGACTGTCTCCTTACTGACCTCACAGATCAATGGTGGCCCGCGTAGCCAGGCGCCCTGGTGAAGAGGAGACTGGCCCAGCAGGTCTTCACAGGCAGAGACAAGACACACCAGAGACCTGAGCTGGGGCCCTGTGACTCAGTCCAGAACCCAGGCTCATTCCAGCAAAACCTTCATACCTCTTCTTAAGTAATGGCACTCAGAAGGGCAGGTATGGGGGAGGCAGGATTTGGGAAGAGAGGAGGGGGAGAGGAGGAGAGGCGGTGCTTTCTGAAGCGCCTTCCAAGCCAAGCAGAGGGCTGGGTTCCCCAAATCCTGGCCCTTGTGTCAGCTCCTGCCCTGGCCTGCCACGGTCCTGAGCTATCCATGCAGCTGGAAGCGTGCAGGCGTGGAGAAGGCCCCACCATGCAAAATGTGCATTTGATCAAGGTTGAAAACATGGTGTAACATGAGTTCTCCTGATCTATTGGATTTCTGCAAAAGAGCCCTGAACTCCTCACTCAAGTTCAAACTCAGGTCTCGGGAAAAATGAGTTTGTTAATTCAAGCGATTCCCCAGTGGTTAGTAGTTTATACCACATGCTTTGAAACAATGTGGCCTGAGTCAGGGGAGAAATTGAATGACTTCCTAGGGGAGAGGCAAGGCCTATCTGTTAACCTTGACAGGCTCTGAGGCCTGCTGCATTGGCGCGCCTGGCCCTCTGAGCACCCTCCCAGGAGGCTCAGGCAAGGGCTCCAGCTCCGCTGCGCACATACCCACACAGAGTGGCCCCCACTGTTCAGAAAACAGACAGCTTCCCAATCCTCCCCCCACCCCCGCCCTGCAGGCTGGAGAGCTGGTGTCTGCCATCGCTTGCCTCTCTAAGAAGTCTGTGTCTCCAGCGGGCACTGGGGTCCACCAGGACTCTCCCACCCAGCGGACCCAGGGAGCTCATGCTGGCCAGTGTGGGTGAGAGGTAGAGTCAGCCCTATTTGTGGGTTGGTCTCAGACAGTAAACCGCGGGGAAGACCTTTTGAAGAGAAGACTGATTACTAGAGAAGCCCTCCAGACTGCCTGGTAAACTCCATTCCCTCATCCAGAGAAGATATATTGGGCACCTGTTTCACGCCAGTTTCCATCCTAACCCATAGACACCTACCTCCCCAGTGTGGCCCAGGAGAATCCACAGGGGACAGTGATGGAACAATGATGATCACATATTAACAGCCTTCTTCAAGGCCCTTCCCAGGTGTTAATCCTCACAACAGCCCTTGAGAGAGGCACAGATGGGTAAACTGAGCCATAGGTCAGTCATCTGCCCAAGGCCACCCAGCTGGGCATCTGGAGTCAGGCAGTCCGGCCCCAGAACCTTTGCCCCAACCACCACTAGATCACTGTCCTCATCATTATTATAATAAAAGCACTGTCCTGCCTGCTGATCCTTCACAGGCACAACCTAGCACCCAGGACGTAGTACCCTCAAGGGTCTAAGTAAACCCAGGGTCTGAGGCAAGGGCTCGGCCTGCTGGACCCCCACCCTGCTGGACATCAGACAAGATCAGACAAGATCTGCAACCTCTCAGCTTCTGCTTCCCTCACTTTAAAATGGGAATGATAATTATTCATAGAGTTCTCGAGATAATTACATGAAACAATGAAGATTAAAGGGCTTAGCACTTTACAGCATTTGCAGATAAAATTCTGGTAAAGGGGCTTCCTTGGTGGTCCAGTGGCTGAGAATCCACACTCCCAGTTCGAGGGGCCTGGGTTCGATCCCTGGTCAGGGACCTAAGATCCCACATGCCAAAACTAAGACCCAACATGGTCTCAATAAATAAATTAACCAATTTAAAAGCCTGGTAAAAGTTAGCTACCCTTTAGTAATTATAGGTATTAATATGTGATATATACAATGCCAGGGCACATAAGCCCTGATCAGGCCAAAGTTGGGGGAAAATACCCCTATTTATAACACTATATCCATACCATTATTATTTCCAACTGGGCTCCCATTCCACACTTTACCTAAAGGAAGTATCTTTACTCCCTATCCTGGATAAGCTGTGCAACACTCCCCTTTTCTTCCCCACCCCTCTTCCTTCCCCTCCCCTACAATCCCACCACAACCTCGAGCTCAAATACCAGTGCCACTGGTCATAGACAACAGACACGGCCACCAGAAACAAGACAAGGAACAAGAGACACTTGACACTTTTCAGGGGTTTGAGCATGAAATCCCCTGATGAACTGACATCTTTTGGCAGCATGTTCACATGTCCTTCCAACAAGTCCAGCAGGATGGAAACATTAAAACGATGCAAGGCCACGCTGTTCACAGGTGGAGGCCCTGACAACGCCACATCAGGGGGGACCAGCAAAGATGACCCATTTCCAGACTCCAAACCTCAACCAGAGCCACCGCCCAAGTGCACACTCCTGAGCCTGATCCCCCCCCCTGAGTGTGGATGGGGTGCGGCACTTTGTTGCTCAGTCGCTAAGTCATGGCTGACTCTCTGTGACCCCGTGGACTGCAGCCCAGCGAGGCAGGGGTTAGTCTCTCCTGCTAGGGAGCAGGTTAAGAACCAGAAAGGTGCGGAGTTGTTCCCGGGGCGGCTCAGTTTGTGGGACAGGGCTGGGACAGAGCCAGGTCTTCTGCTTCCTGGACGCTTGGCTGGGGGAGGGTGGGGCACCCCACACTGCACATCTCTGGAAGGCTAAGCACTGCTTGTGCTGGCTGCTGGGCCAAGAGGTGGCAGCTCTGCCTCACAGCACCCTGGTCAAGCGTTCCATGAAATCATCCAAAGCCAACAGGAGCCCCAGGAATAGTCGGGCCGTAGCTGCGGCTTCCTCCCTAGCTGTGGGCATCTTCAGCTCCCTGGGGCCCTGGACTAAGTTCCACTCTCCATACACACGGAGGACACATGCTGAAGACCGGCCACTATTCCCAGACAAGGCCCACCCCTGGCAAGGCTGCGCAGCACCCAGGGGGATGGCCACCCCAGACCCCCTCTAGCTGGCTGCCGCCTCCCCAGTGCCGACAGGAACACTCACCGAGGGGACTGAACAGACACAGAGATGCTGAGCTCCCCAAGGCGGCCACCCCAGCTCCGCCCCACCCCAGCCCAGAAAGCAAAGGGCCACAGCCGCATCCCTAGACAGATGTCCTAATCCCAGCTGGGCTCAGATTCACACACACCTTTCACATCTGCGGCAGCAGCCCCGAAAGGCAAGCACCAGACAAGCAGCAGCTGGCCATGGAGGGCAGCCGAGTGGGACTGGCCCTACATCCCTTCCTGGGATACGGGGTGGTGGGAGGAGCTGGAGGAGCCTCTCTGCCTCAGGGACAAGCCTGTTCAGCACCAGACCTGGCAGCACAGGGCGCAGAGAGCTGAGAAACGGGCCCAGCTTTCACCCTACCAAATCCTTCAGGATGACTACGGAAGCCGCAAAAAATCAATTTTCTGCCGCTTCTCCAGAAACCAGGGTTTATTCTCCAAGTGTGCAGAACCTTGGCTCGACTGTTCCCCATCAGCTCCCACCATGCTTCTGGGGCGCCCAGCACGGCCCACCACCTCCCTTTCCCCTAGGCACTCAAACCCACACCCATGGCTGCACCAGGGCAAAGAACAGAGGCCTCATCTGGGAAAATCAGGCCAGGTGCCGGCTTCCTCCAAGAAGGAAGTGCTCCCATTTCCAGAGCACCAAACCATTGGCAGAGGACCCTTATACACAGCCACGCTGGGAGACCAGACTGAAGTCAGGGATGGGAGAAGATGGCAGAAGAGCTGCCGGACCCTGGGACCTCAGGGCAGAGATGAGAAACTCTGGGCACTAACATCAATGCCAGAGCTTTCTCAGCGTCAGTCTGCTGGCTGCCCCGGGCCCTGGCCCAGGACTGTGCCCTACCCCACCCTACCCCACCTTCTTAGCTGCAGGACCTGACCCAGGAAGCTCCTGACTGTCCTGGCCACAGCAGCCGGGCTGGGTGCGCTGATGCTTGGGCAACATATGTCACACACATGCACCAGCATTCAGCAAGGGCCGCCTGGTCCTGCCCCTGGGGGCCCCAGAATCATGGCTGTCACCCCGCAGCAGGACCCACTGAGCCAGAGGACCATCTGTGTGCAGCCTGGGCAGGCCTGTTCTCGAAGGCTTGGTCCTCATTCTTTCTCTAGTCACTCTGGACAGATCCCAGCATAGTTTTCAGTTTGCTCTTCGTGATTCTCAAGGTGTGGTCCCTGGACCAACAGCAGCAGCATCACCTGGGAACTTGGATGAAATGCATTCTCAGGCCCCACCCCAGGCCTCCTCATTCATAAATCTGGGGGTGGGGCACAGCTGTGTGTGTTTTAACAAGCCTTCTAGTCTGATGCAACTCTGGATGGCCGCATTGTTGGGGTGGGCATGGCAGGGGGACAGGACTGGGGGTCAGGAGCTCCTCTGCTTTCCTTCAGCCCAAAGCACTGTAGTTACTTACCAAGCTAGCAAGCCTGAAAGAACCCCTCTGCTCTCCTGGGGTGCTCCTCTGTGTGGCCCTGGGCTCCTTCTGGGCCCTCTCACCCTCAGGATGCTGAAAGGTTACCCCACTTCTCACTGCAGACCCCCAAACCCCAAGAACTCAGACTCATCATGAGTTGATGACTATCAAATGTTTATTCACATCACAAATTAAAATAATATTATACAACACACACTGACCACATCCCTATCTCAGGAGTCTTTGCTACTCCCTAAGCTACAACTGAAGCTGAAGCTCCAATACTTTGGCTACCTGATATGAAGAGCTGACTCACTGGAAAAGACCCTGATGCTGGGAAAGCCTGATGGCAGGAGGAGAAGGAGACAACAGAGGATAAGACGGCATCACTGACTCAATGGACATGAGTTTGAGCACACTCCAGGAGATACTCAGGGAAGCCTGGCATGCTGCAGTTCACAGGGTCACAAAGAGCTGGACATGACTTAGCAACTGAACAACAGCAACAAAGCCAGAACACTCTTCTCCCGATCGGCACGCTTCACTCAGGTCTCTGAGCAATGTCACCTCTTCAGAGAGGCCTGTCCTTTCCATCCTACCTAAGGTCACTCTTCATTTGCTCTGTCTCCTTACCCAGATAACTTTTTCTGTATCTCCACTTCATAATGTTATTATATATTTACTCATTTTGTTTGCACAGCTTTTGTGTTGTTTGGGGTCTCTTTCCCTCTCTAGGCTATCATCTTCATGAGGACAGGGATCTCATTCATTCACTGCTGCAGGCTCAGTGCCCGGCACACGCCTCCCACACAGTCGGAACTCAATCAGTATACCGGTAAATGAGTGCATGCATACAGAGAAACAAAAATCAGAGCTGTCCACTCCTTGTATTTAGCAATTCTTAAATACATAAAACGCCCAGGCGAACTTGGAAATTAAATCCAAACAAAACTACCGACAAAATTAGATGATGTGTTTTGCTCCAGTTCAATTGCCAAGAATGGGTTTAATAGTAGAGAGATAGGGCCTCAAGCCAGTTCTGTTGCTGTATTTTGATGTCATTAATACCACCACAGAGAGCGAATGCCTGCAAACAGATGTGTGCAAACAAAGTGGCATTAATAACTTTGAGGTTTTGTTTGCAAGGATAACCAGCTTTTATACAAAACCCAAATCCAGCACACAGGCCTGCAGCACCCATTTTAACAAGGGATTACTTGATAATTCTGCAGAGGTATCTTATTCACTTGAAGCCACATCAACCTTAAGATCACACTGAAAACCTGCCTTAAATAAACTCTTAATCTCCTCATCCTAATTCTAGCAATCTCTTCCTCACGTATTTCCCAGCAAAATTACTGCCAATAAACTTCAGCCTGTAGCTGAGTATCAAGCTGGGATCCCCTTGCCATATGCATGTGACCCTGGCCACCAGCACACTGGCATCTTGGACTCTGGCACTGCCCACTGGTGTGGGTCTTGTTCTGCCCTGGCTTTTCTCCATCTAAATTGATGCAACCAAACAATTTCCTCCATACAGTGGACTCGGGCTGTATTTCACCTTCCCTTGGAGCAAACCTAAACCATCAAATATGCTGACACCATCATGAAGACATGTAAATATTTCTTAAATCAGCCAGCAATACCAGGCTATAACATGTGTATCAAGATAGTATAGATAAGATCATACGAATTCCAAAGGCGGCAATCAAAATGGAAAAACAGACCTCTGAGAATGACAAACCAGAGCCCTGAGGCACTGATCTCTTTACCTATTCGAGGACCTTGGCACTTGTCTCCAAGCCCCTCCGGGGGACAGAGCAGAGCACTGAGGTGCTGAGTTCCAGCCCAGGGACTACGTCCCATCTTACAGTCGGAAATGCAACCACCAGGCCACCAGGAAACTATTAAAGTTCCAATCCCAGAAGTGCCCACATGGAACTGCGAGTCAGTTCACTGGATTCACACGTGTTCTGAAATGATTCTGTAATTCTGGCATCGGCAAGGGCTTTCTAGGGATGAAGGCATAATGGGTGCCAGAGGTTTAATTAAAAATTTATGGGAGAAAACTTACACTTGAGAACACTATATCCTCTCTCTCTCTCCAGCCTGGGTCTTGCTTCCCTTGCCAATATGGACAAGAGCACCATGATTCTGTTTTATGAGGGTACTTTTAAGTCCTGGGCTGCCTGCTACAGGATGTGCCTGCAAGGGGAGTCCTTCTGCAATGTGACGGGGCTTCTGGCACCCTACCCAAATGCTCACCGTGGC